AACTGTTCAACCCTTGAAGTTTGTATGGTCTAGGATGTGGTATTGTAGGCAATCTCAATCATTTGATAAGTAATGTACTAACAAAATTAGTACAACTCCCCCCATCAATGATCACGCTACAAGCCTTCCCATTCATATGACATCGGTATGAAACAAAGTTTCCCTTTGCTCTTCAGTGAGATCCTCTTTAATTTGGGTACTTAAAGCTCTTCTAGATACTAGCACATCTCATACTACTGGTTCTTTATAGCTACCATCACTAGACTCCAAATAAACTATTTCTTCTTTCTCCTCCTCATTTTCACTTTCTTCACCCTTAGTTACTACCTCTCCATTTTTTATGATCATTGTCCTTTTGTTTGGACAATCCCTATTTACATGCCCTACCCCGGCCGTGATATTTCCAGCATTTAATATCTCTAATTCTCTCCTTATATTCATCTACCTTCTCTTTCCCCTTCATTGAACTCTCTCTTTTCTCAAATTTCCTCTTAGGTTTCTCATTCCCCTCTCGATTTCTAGGATAAAAGCCACTATTCTTACTATCCTTTTTCCATGTAGAATTAGAGTTGGAAAAATGTTTAGAAGAATACGGTTGAGACTTCCGTTGGATTTGTCTCTCGATTTTGATTGCTAAATGCAACATCTCCTCAATGTCAAAGTAAGGTTGTAGATCAACCTTGTTAGCAATCTCCTTGTTTAGGCCACTAAGAAAACACGCCATGAGTTGCTCCATGTCCCTATCTTGATCAAGTCGATCCATCAAAGTGTCCATCTCCTTGTAATAGTCCTCCACTGACTTGTTTCCTTATCTCAACACTTGTAGTTTTTGTGCCATGTTCCTTTCAAAATATTTTGGCACAAGCCGCTTCCTCAAAGACTCCTTGAACTCGTACCACGAATCAATTTGTGCCTCAAGATTCCTTCTTCTACATGACATAAGCTTATCCCACCATGTTTGTACATATTGTTTAAATCAAGCAACACATAGTTGTACCTTCTTTTCTCCACTGAAATTATGGCATACAAACACCGACTCCACCTTATTCTCTCATTGGAGGTATTCTTCTGGATCAGTTTTGCCAAAGAACTTTGGAATCTTTAATTTGATGCTCCCTAGATTACGATCAACTTGAGCCTCTTCTCGTGAGCTCTCCTCTGATAATTGTAATGTCTTCCACGACTTCTTCCTCTATCCAAGCAATGACCAGCATGTCTATCTCCCCTGCTATGTGCAGCTAACAAGGTAACTTGGTCATCCTCTAGTTGATCAAACCCACCTTCCTCAGATTCATTTTCTCGATATAAAAAATGGTCATCCATAACACGTGGTGATGGTGGTATCCTTCTCTGGTTTTGAACCTCCAACCTATGCATTTGTTTTAATATCTCTTCCATGGTACGAATCATTCGCTCCATAGCTCTTTGTTGGGCTTCTCTCATCCTACTATCTGATATGTTACCTTCCTTTTCTTCATTCGCCATGCTGCAAAATGAACACAAAGTAAAATGGACCTCACAAGCACTCCTTCACGTGCTTACTCTCTTGGAAGATGAAAGGACACTCATTTTTGCACTAAAAAAAATGTATAAATTGAAGGGATGAAATCCATGGTGGAAGCGCGTGAACGCGATGCTCAAATTTACCGTTTTAATTTAATTACACAGAGAAGAAAGAAAATAGAGGAAAAATTGTGTTACCTTTGAAGAAGATGTTCTTCACGATAAACCAATTGACACCACCCCAATATCTTCCTCACTATCCTCTAGACGAGAATCAATTTTGTGGGAACCGTCTTTTGAAACAAGGAAATTTCATGTAGAGATTGTGATAGAGGGAGAGAACACTTCTAGGAGCTCTAATTGTAGAACTATTTTACAATTTATCGATGAGGTGAGAGGAAGTTACCCACCTCATCACTCCCCCACTTTACTACAAATTTGCACAAGGTGAGTTAATTAATTAAGTAATTAATTTAAAATTAATTAATTAATTAATTATTTAATTATTTAATTATTTAAAAACTATTAATTAATTAATATCAAATATTTTAATCATATTCAAATGTATCTCTCGTACCCTATAATTTTAATTTGTATCTTATGCACATTAATTTTAACCTATAGTTTTAATATGAATCTCATTCATATTAAATTTTATTTGAATCTTATTCAAATAATTCTCTTATAATATTAATTTCGAATCCATATTCAAAATTAATTATATAACGTATCAACATATACATTATATAAAAGGTGTATGCACTATATACATTCCCTTATTAAATTTGAACATTTTAAAATTCTTAATCCTCGTTTTACACATTGTGAGTTAGCAAGGAGACCTAATGGACCTACAGATTAGAAGCTCCAATGATACGAGATTAATTTATTAAACTCATTAATTAAATTAATCATCATTCATTAATTGTGGGTCACTCCATTATAGACCTCACAACTGCACTTTTCACACTGTAGAATATTTTGTTGTCACGGATATTGACCATTAACAGTAAGTCAATCCTTCACGAGTGTTTGTAACTTGAACTGGGTCAAATTATCATTTTACCCATGAGTTACCTCTTTCATCTTAAGTATCACTAATCCTCTAATGAACAACCTGTTTATGATCTAACCATTAAACAAAAGTTCCTCTCGAGCCAATAAGAGGGTGGGGTCCCTTGTTCAAGTCCCAGAGTAAACACTTAAAGGAACACTCATCTACTTATCCAAAAGTCGGGAATGAGTGAATTTCATCTTGTGTTGTTATGTTCCTAGCTCCCTACTCGGTCTTGTCTCCAAAGTGGTACGCTTATTGAGTCAGCTAATACTGAGCCACTCTCACCTATGCAAATTAAGAGACAATCCCGCACATGCAGGAGTCTATAACACGCTCAAGATTAAGATTGAGTCACAAGGTCATTCTATAAAACATTAATCTAATTAGTTAACATTGTTACAACTAAAGATTAATAATTTCTTAGTCTGATCTTATACCATTGTGTAGGATACCCCTACTCGCATGTTTCCACATGAACGACTTGGATCGAGTTATTTGTAACTTTTACTAAGTGGGTCGTATCCATAGTGTTACCACGATAAGGTACTCAACATTATCCATATAATATAGATCATTTAGGTTATTACTGGAATATGATCCAACCGTATATCCACTACATACCGTGTATGTCAATTATATACTGTTCCAGTAACATTAAATAACCTCATATGTTAGTTTATTGAATTTGGGTCAATGCAATGTTAAAATAAACTTCAATGACGATTCTTCATCCTCCTTCTACTCCTCCTTCTTCTCATCCTTCTTAACTCCAATAACTAGATGACAAACCAACCCTAAAAAAGTTAAATAGATTTATGCTTGAAAAGATATGATCAAAGATCAAGAAAATAAAGGAGAACTTCTTCCTATATTCAAGATTTTGAACTCTCCACAATATAATTAATCAAACTAGATTGAAAGTTCTAAAACATACATTCTAACACAAGAATACAAAGAAAGCTTAAAGCTTGATAGAGATTAAACTCAATCTAAAATTTCATTCATCAAATGTTCTGTTTGAAAAGCAAATGTACATCTCTATTTATAGTAATTGAAAAGACACAATGAAAAGACGCAACTATTGGCCTAAGTAGTCCAAATTCAACCACCACTCCTTCAAATTCATTCATGAACCCTTTTAAATGCAAATACATGGATTTAAAAGATGCATAATGCATTAAATATGTGAACAAATCTGGATTTTCAGATTCATTAAGTTTCTTGGGGAACAAGATACATTTTCAAGTTTGAAGAGATGCAACTCTTAACCAAACGTGAGTATCTTAGCTTGAAAGTGACCATTCAATTCTTTTTGTAGTCTTTTATCTCTAGCTCTTGTGATTGGACCTTTTGGCATAATAATTGGCTCATGATTGGGTTTAACTTGGGTTGATCTCAATTGACTTTGAGCATAAGCTTCATTTTAGCTGATTTGAATTTGCTCTTGTAGTGTTTCCTTATGCTCTCCATGATTACTCAATTCTGTATTAGATTCTCTCTCTGTGGAAGATATCTAAATTGTATGATTTTTGTGTTGGACAATTTGAAATGATAGAAACTCCTTAACAAACACTTTATTGATAGATGTTATGAGCTAATGGACCCACGAAGAATATAAAAGTAGGAGGTGCAAGAGAAATCCCTTAAAGGGCTAAGAGACCAAAAACAAATATCCATGACCATGTTCAAGGGCAAAAACTAGCTAGCGGGGACGTGAGCAAAGAAACGTTGAAGAGTCACAATCTAACAGGTGACGATCGAAATCAAAGTTGAACGATAAGGAGTCTCTCGCAAGAACAAGAATAATCACAATTATAGACAAGTTTAAGCGAAGATAAATGATAGAGAAAATGTAAAGAGACATATGAGGGACTATCCCCAACCAATAGTCCTCCAAGAAGAAAATCGACGCCTTATCTCCAACAATGAACTACTCTAGGACAATAAATCTCCATGGGTTCCTAAAAAGTGTCTTTGACCCTGTTGCTGAAGGATATTCATACTTACAATATGATCCTACACTAGAGAGCAAGATCTTAGGGAAGCGCCAAGCCATTTAGCAAGCAAAGTCTCATTATGGAGCAACAAATTGTCAGTACATAGCCCTCCCCCCAAATAACTTTTTTTAGAACACATTGAGGGAGGGGATCCTGCTAGGGGACATAAAAGTTCTAAGACCGATTGGATGAACGTTAATCTCCCACCTTTCGAGAAAAAAGCTTTTTTCCATGAGAGGGGATGCTAATAGGAGACAAAAAAGTTCTAAGACTGATTGGATGAACGTTAATCTCCCACCTTTCGAGAAAAAAACTTTTTTCCATGAGAGGGGATCCTAACAGGGGACATAAAAGTTCTAAGACCGATTGGATGAACGTTAATCTCCCACCTTTTGAGAAAAAAGCTTTTTTCCACGAGGCAATTGAACTCCAAGCGATTTACAGATACAAATTTGGGCAGTAAACGACTGATCAATTTCCATGGCTAAAAACAGATAGAGATGAAACTTTCAAGAGTCATCTCTGAACTTTCTCTAGTAATATCAACATATTTACAAGCAAAAGCTATTTGAACCAAAATACCAAGCAGTTTCATTTGATCCAACTTTTAGATATTACATTACTAAAAAAAACGACGAGGTCAAAGCAAGATTCAATTCACTGCTAAGATGAGGAAGATGAGCTATCATCGTCGGATGAACCGTAGTGCTGACTTTCACACAATCCAGGGAAAATCGATGGAAGACTCGGATTCGGAGGCCCAGTGAATTGACGAGCAGAACCAACTATTGTTCTTTCGTTGATTCTTCCAACTTCCTTGCATACCTGATCTAAGATCGTAAGAAAGTCCCTCACCACCATGAAAATACGCAGCGGCCGAGCTTCTTCTTTCGCTAAGTTGCCGTGGAAGTACTCGGTAATTTCCTTTACCATGGCAAGAACAATGCCCTCTTGGACTTGTATCCTTGCTATTTCTCCAGCTGCCTTCCCCAAGAACCTGTTCATCGAGTCCGAGAAACTTGAGCTACTCCCTCCTTTCAACATGTCTTCATTTAATCTAATGACCTCGGTGATTTTTGTGATCCCTCCAGCGAGTTTTGTTACGTCACTGCTAAGCACATCTGCATCCATTAATGCAGCTTTCTTTACACTCGAGAGCTCCCTGCTAAGACCTGAAACAACTTGAAGACCAAGCTTTCTGAACTCGACATCGTTTGTTAAGGAAGATTGTTGGGTTTTATCAGCTGTCAGGTTCTGATCAGAGGTGGAGTGTCGATAACCTTCAGCTCTAATGATCTCCTGCACTACGAAATGCAGGAGAGTGGTCTTCCCATCGGTCCCCTTGACATCGACAAGCTTGAGAAGGGTGTCGAGTTTAAAGGCATGAGCATCGCCTCGGTTCGTGCCAACGTTCATCCGGTTCCCAGTTTTGAGTACTGCTTCAAGAAGTTTGAGAAACATTCTACTGTTCTTCAATTCTCTACAAGCAGCCTGTGCAAAAACAAAGTATTTTACACAATTCATAAATTTGGCAAAACAAACAATTTCCTGTAACAGAAAGTATTATTGAACAAAACAGAGGCTACTGAATTACCTCGAGAGTTTCAAAGGATCGTTCGAGGTACTCGATTTCAGAGTCGAAATTGGCAATGTAAAGCATTGCATCCACCCTCTTGAATGCAAAAGGCACATCAAGAACTACCTTGAGGAATTTCTCAGCTGGACCAAGTTTAAAAGGCGAATCGTCCTTGTACTCTCTCAAATTACGCTCTTCTTCTGCGGTTGGCGCCATTTTCAGCAAACTTTCGAGAAGCTCAGTACCCAAAGTATCTGAATTTCCTGCATGACATAACAAAAGAATTGAAATAAACAGTAAATGTACATAACTTTAGCATTCTCCATGATTTGGCACATTGATTGCCTTCAAAATCAGGAATAAAGACACCTGAACCAATGTAGACTTACTACAGCTTTCATGTGCTATTATGGGAAAGCTCCATATCCATTCAATCAATCTACAAAACGATTTTAAAATTAGATAATTGTTTTTGTTAGGACAACGAACCCTCCACATTTCTACAATGGTACGATATTGTCCACTTTGGACATAAACCCTCATGACTTTGCTTTTGATTTCACCCAAAAGACCTCGTACCAATAGAGATGTTGTGCCTCACTTATATACCAATATGAGACTTTGGTTGTGTTCTCAATAGTTTTTAGAGAATATGTGATTTTCGGGATAAAAAACAGTATTACTATTACCTTAGCAAGCTAATTACTTAGGACCTACTAATTTTGAATGGGAAATGAAAACCAGGTAATAAATTATCCATTTCAAGAACTAGAACATTTGCTCTAGAAAATGACTTTACTTTCACGTAAATGACAAAAAGATATATATTAGACACGTAAATGACAAAAAGATGTATCGATGTCAAGTTTTTGTTAAAGAATACCTTCCAAAAGGGCCTCAGAGACTTCTTCAATGGTGACATTGAGAGCCCTCAACAAAATTGCAATATTCTGTGACTTCTTAGGATCAAGAACTCGATTCTCTTGGTTCCCAAAAGCACCACCATTTTCTTTGCCCATCAGATTTGAATTATTATTATTGTTATTATTCACCATAAAAAGTGATTCAATCATCTCCTCATTCAACCTGCAAACCATATCATCAAAATATATAGCTCAAAAGATGATTCAAACAGACTACAGATGAAAAGGATGACTCAAAAGCATAATGACAAAAGGAAAAAATCGTACTGAAAAGAACTTGACTTGATCTGATCCCACACCATAGCTCGATCGGAGCTCGTTCGAACTTTGTCCCAATGTAATGGCTTCAGTTTCGGCTTTGAATTGTCCTCCATTCTCTCTGCATCTCCCATGGTGTTTGAGTGCTCGCCCGCTGAAATATGAGCTATGTTCTGTGAGAGTATCGGTCTTGAAGGCACGGAGAGAACTGGCGGACCTATTAAGAATATGAATAAAAGATTAAATATAAAGTAGCCTAACAGATCTAATGCGGCATCAGAACCCGTCATTTCTTTCCCATTGCCCAGTGCTAATTTAGCCCACAATCAGGTAGTCAAAAGAGCATTAATAAAAGGTGAAATATACACTAATCTGTCAAACTTTAACTTTTCAGTTTAAGAATATGAATAAAAGATAGAATATACCTAAACAATCAATTAAACTTTCAAGTTAAAAGAATATACGCTAATCAATTAACTTAAAACTTTTGGTATATGAATAAAATATAGAATATACCCAAATCTATTGACTTAAACTTTTGAAATATGAATAAAAGATCAAATATACGTTAATCTATCGACTTAAGAACTTTTGGGTTTTGGATTTCGGGACCTGGATTAGGCTCCTTGGTGCGGAGGGAGTTAGATGGAGGAGGAATCTCCCAGAACAATCGAGGAGGCGGTGGCGGCGGTGCTGGAGGCGGCAGCTTCACCGGCAACGGTTGCCCGTAATCTGTCTGTAATCCGTTCGAAAATTGTCGGTGCAGCTCCGAGAAATCAGAGTCCCTTGATGGCGAGTTCTTGGTATTCCCGGAGCCTCCCAGCGGCGAAGAAGCAGAGGACAACGACGGCGATGGCGGGACCGGGCGCAATGGAAATGGCCTCAACGGAGCTGGGAATCTAATGATGGAGTCGGGGGATTTCGATCTCAAGCTGGTGGGGCTC